AAATTATGATGTTTGAATTATACCAAAAAAAAAATTAAATTCTTAATAAAAATTACTTTTTTTAAATAGAGATGTTAGTTTAAGTGTTGTAAACTTTTTTCTTGAAAAAAGTAATGAGATCAACACAACAATCCTTTGCCAGGCTTAAGTTTCCTCAAATTATTACTGCAGCTTCTGATTAATATTATTTTGTTACAACATGTAAGATTGTGGTGTGGATCTCACTAATTTTTAAAAGAAAATTAGAAAAAAAATAATATACGACACTCATACTGACATTTCATTTTTAAACCTTTTTGAAAGGTAATTTTCATTTTCGATATTTAAATGTAATTGTATCCTAATTAAATAATTATTAGTATATGATGTCCATTATGTAATCTGAAATTTATCTTCTCCTATAAAAATTTTTTTTTGACAAAACAATGAGTATAAGCTTTACAAAGTATTGAAGTCGAAAAAAAATTTATTTGTTCAAACTTCTACCGTAAACATTAAAAAAAGGGCAGTTATGACCAAGTGGAAATAAACTTCCGATGAAAATGAAATCCCTACACTTCCTACTTACATGTCAACTAAAAAATTAAAAATTTTACGTTGCTATTTTGCAACAAACAAGTACATTGCTGGCATCAATTGTTACTGATACAAAAATTCGGAATTCCAACGAAAACATAAGTAATTCTGTGGCACACTAGCTCGAATGAAATTCAATTGCACCATAAAATTAATCAAGGAAATTTCGGTGGTAGTGGGGCAAGGGACGAAAAAAAGCTATAAGCTACAGGCGCAAAACATATAAATGCCGTATTAATGTGCGCAAGTTGGACGAGTTTTGCTTTATAATACCAGAGAGAGAAGATATGTAGAAACTGTTGTTAAACTTTCGGAACACGGTGCGGGTGACGTTGTACTACACCGGCTCGCCCGCTGAAATGCAGAAGGGGGTGTTAAACTATACTTTGCAACTCTCGGCGAAATGACTCTCCTGCTGTACTCGTGTACGCGTTGCGCGCCATCGTTCCCATGCAGAGTAAGTACACTCCCTTGAGTTTTACCATCTCAATCGTGTATTCCGCGTTTGAGGACGTCTAGTCGCCCTTTTCATTATCTCGTCTCTTAATCCACTTTACGTGGATAAGTTCTGAGTGGTGCTGCTACGCTATTGATGCTACAAGCGTCATAACGATGTTGGCACCTCGGAGCACGAGAGTACAAAATTCAATTACAGACGTGCTATTATACATCTGTTTTGTTTTTTCCAAAAAAGTATTATTGGTTAAAACAATTGAGAAAAAAAAAAAAATAAAAAAATACGACTCGTGAAGTGGTCTTAAAATGAAAACAAAGTGTATCGCGCGTATACCTCGGCAAGGGAGGTCTCAGCTATTTCAATAAGAAAAAGGGGACCCAAGCTAGCTGTACGACAGCCCCTCTTTTATATTATTCAGGATTCTCTCTAATGCAACAGCTTATGCCTTGAGCAATTTCGCCTTTATGTACGTCTGAGCGCGTTCGATAACGTCGTCGTCTCGTGCTTGCATTCTTGCACTTTTATCTCTCTCTCTCTCTCTCTCTCTCTCTCTCCTTGGGAATAGTTGGGCTTTATTTTGCCTCTCTTTCCTTTGATGCTACTCAATCGTTACTTCGCACTTTGCGCCTGCAGCCTTTGTTCGTGTACGAATGTTCTTCAAAGAATTTAGAATCGCGTGCAAAGTCACGTGACCCGAGAGGATAAAGTCGGAGGGTGTGGAGGTGCAGCCGAGAGCAGCTGAGCCAGAACAAAAAAGGGAAATTGACTTTTACGGGATTTTGCGAGCATCGGTTGGGCGTGTTTTTGACTCAGTGAGCGTATACTTATTGTGCAAAAGCTTACAATCGGCGGCAATTATTTCCACTTGGACCCGAAAGTAATCCAACATCTTTACGAGCTGCCGTTTTTTTTCGTATCCGAGATGGAGGACGAATTTTAACTATCCCAATTAAATAATGGATTGCCTAATGGACTTTTTGCTGGTGTACCAGATGTACTACTTGTAGAAGGTATCACTGTTTTAAAAAACATCACCTTGTCTGATATACAAAAATAACTCTGTCTATATCTTTCTAACCCTCTTACGGCCTCGTTCTAATGAAATTCACTCGAATTCCAATATTTTACAAAAATCGTGTACTTATATTTATGAAAATATGTTTCATCGAATGTCAATTTTGGTGTACGCACGTAAAAGCACCTTTTTTTTTAAAGTGACAGTAATGAAAAATAAAAAATAAAAAGTTTTTTCCTAAAAAGTAGCTGCTTGAAAAGTGCACAAGTATCATCACTAGCTCGATCATAATTGTATGACGTCAAGTTTCATAATTACCTAATCTATAACCCATCCAACTTTTGTTCTCTGAATTTGGTTCAACTGCTGGATAGAAAAATATGAAGAAAGTAGGAGAGAGGCGAACGAAGAATGGAAAAAAGGGGATGGAGGGGGGGGGGCAAAAAAGCAGCGGTCGAGAGAGGAGGAGCAGCATTTATCCAGACGTGAAATTGAAATCGAGCGTTTCTTGAAGTACACACATATATATACACGTACTGTGCCAGGGCGGGAGTTGGATAGTTTCTTCGGCCCCCACTGCGGTATTATCTTCGTCTCGGAGGGTTACAATTGCAGATCGAGCGATCGGCACCGCCGCACGGACTATTTCTAAATATCAAAACCAGCTCGACCTCTTAACCCCTTTCGCTGACAGACCAAGTGTTTTCACTTTTCCGTAGGTATCGAGCTTCTACTCTTTTATTTATTGCTGTTGTCAATGAAGAGTAAATTTTATATAGAGAGAAATGTAGATGGAAATTTCAGAACAACAAGTTACAGCGACAATCACGAGCGCGTTTAATTTCAGAGTTTTCGTACTTTTGACGTGATGCTCCAATACAATTTTAGTTAAGGTAGACAGCATATTTGTATACGTGCTATGAGAACAAGAAAAAAAAAAAAAAATACTGTTTTTACATTATAGTCAATGGTAATTTTATAAAAATTCCGAAAGAAGACCGCTTTTTACAATAGATGCGTAATTTACCCAAAAATCTCCAGATGGGCAACAGAGAGTTTATCGCTCCAACACAGTAATCATACATGTTGTTTTTTCTCTTGGTGTACATCGCCACCTTTGGAGATGTGATGAAAATTGCGTCGAGAAATATTTGGCCAAATCCTCGTAAAAATCTTTGTGAGAGAAAGTTCAAGGCGGCACCTAAAAACCTCTGTACCAAAGGCACGAAGGAACACCGGGGGTCTCTAAGCCTTGGCTCTGCCCAGATCAGCGTGTACACGCCCAAGCAAGGCTCAGACGAGATGTGCATACATTGAGCGCATCCCACCCCAGTATGAAAATTCCGGTGGAAAAGAGAAAAGTACGGGACGGCCGAAGAATGAAAAAAACGAGGAGGAAAGTAGGGAGCGCCTTAAAGCTCCTCGCGAGGCTCTTTCTCCCCGCGCACCAGCTGGGGCCCGGAATTCAAGGGGCTCGGCGGGTGCGGCGCGTCTCTTACATCTCATCAGCCATTAAACAAAGCAAGGGCTCCGCACAAAAGCACCCACCATTGTCCTAAAAAGCTGCCGGGGCCCCTCCCTCTCTCTGATTAATCTCCGTGGATCCACCTGACGACGCGGCGATGTCGCCACTCCGGCGCTGAGACGCGTTTTATCTCGGGCTGCTTTCATCTATCTTCGAGCCTTTTTTTTTTTTTTTTTTCTTTAGAGACCGATGCTCGAGGCTACACGGCCATATTTCGCTCGCGCTTTCACGATGATGCCTAATGGAATGTGCCGGGCCTTTGACTCAAAGGCGCGTACGTGTATAAATCATATACGTACGTCGATGGTGTGCTCTTGAAAGTAACTTTTTTCCTCCAGCTACAAGCTTATGCTCGTTAATCGGGTACGGGCTATATGTATAGGCGATACGCGATTTGCCATCGGCCTGTATGACACAGAGTTCATTGAGCTTTAAAATTCTCAGTACGAGAAAAGGCGTAGATATATACGAATTCACAACAATAGATTCGATATTGGTAACGTTTAATAAATTGGATATTATTTGCACTGTAGTGTAAAAGATTCATCATTAGCAGATAGTTTGAAGCTTCATTGTTTAATATTTTTATGATCAGTAACTTATACAATCGTCAATTACGGTCCAGCACAAGTTGACTAGAGAGTTTTGCGACAAATCGAATATTCGTTTCGGGTTTAGTGTTCTATAGTGGTAGAGCGGTGGGGGTGACCGAACGA